ATTACTTTGTTTTTTTTTTTTTTTTCAGAAGTACAACACGAAAAAGAGGGCTCATAAGGATTAATAAAAAAAATGTAGGATCCCGAAGAAATGCTTCAAAATTTAGAGAGAAGAAATTTCAAGTGTGCTGATTGGCTAGACAGAGGAAAATATCAGTCTTCGTAAGTAAGAGGTCGCGTCTTCCATACAATATGAACAACCAGTTTTATCACTTTTTAACTAAAGTTTATGTTTTTAGTTACAATGTAGCACCAAGTTTTTATCAGCCCGTGATCCATATCGAACGAGGGTCGAAGCAAATGGTAATCCATACTATGGTAATGTATATAAGTTTAATTCGATATATTTGAAAAATCATCAAGAATGATGTCTTTTTTTTTTTTTTGTATAACAATCTTGATTTACATTTGCAATAAAATAATGATTGCCTGAACTATAGAAATGGGATTAATACCTTTCTGGGCGAAGGCGACGTCGCATGCAATGAAAACAGCGAATTGTCGTGACGATTCTCTAACTGGTGGCGAAAAGTCAATGTTTAATTCTATGAAGAATACTAAACGGTGTGTTGTTATTGTGCAAGGGTAAGGCTTTTCTTTCGTGCTTTGATGTTAACGAATGGCAATGACATTGTTAATGATTTTTTATTTCAGATTTTTTGAATGGCTTCATAAAGGAAAGCAAAAGATCCCTCACTTTATTAGGAGAGAAGATGGCGAATTGTTATTTTTTGCAGGACTATATGACTCTGTTAGAGTAGATGGTAAACGACGGGATTGATTATTTAATATAATATTATTAGAACTTGGTTTAATCTATTATAACATATTCAGGTCAAGAAGAGCCTCTTTATACATACACAATTGTTACCACCTCATCGTCCAATTTCCTCTCCTTTTTACACGATCGTATGCCCGTGATTCTTGAACCGGATGGTATCGCAAAGTGGCTGGATCCTGATGTCAGGTGGAACTCGGAGTTGGCAGCATTATTGAAACCTTATGAGAAGGAGTTAACATGGTTTTTATCTTATATTAATTATATAAAGAGGGTAATTCTTTACTGCCTCAAAAATATGCATCTTTTTCTTTCCTTTCATTTTTAATATTAAGTTACAGAGTTCCTCAAGAAGTTGGGAAAGTAGGCAATGATTCTCCAAGTTTCATTGTTCCCATTGATTCTTCGAATTCGATATTTAAACTCGATGGATTAAAGAAGGAAGACAAAGGAAGCACAAGCACTATATTAAAATTCTCACCGGAGAACATTAAAAAGGAGGAGGATAAAAATGTTTTATTTGAATCTTCTGGGTTTCATGTGAAAGAGGAGCAAGATGATAAAAAATTGATCAAGTTGGAGTCTGATTCAACAATCCCCAGAAAGCGTTCACGATATGATTCAGATGATGAAGACAAAGTGGAAGAATCATCATCATGTAAACTCGAAGATGGTGTAAAGAAGGAGGAATCATCTTCGGATGAGATAGGTCCTGGTCCTAGGAAAATGTTGCGCAAGGAAAAGGGATCCAGTTCACCCCCGAAAAAGTCATCAAAACCTAAAAATAGGTCAGCGACGATAAAGAAGAAGACTGATGCACCGGAAAAGAGGACGACGCAGGTGAAGAAAAAAGGTAAAGACAAAGCGGTAGGATCCGCTAAAATTACTGGTTTTTTCGCAAAAACTGAAAAATAGTGTGTTGTGTCGGACATTAGTTACAAAATCAATTGTTATTATTATTTTTTTTATGCAACATAGATCATTAGTATTATCTCGTGGATTATTATTATTTTTTTCTTTAAAAAGAGTTGGAAAGCAAGTTTTGGTGATTATTTGATCCAGTACATTTAATCAATTTGATTATCATAAGAGGAAAGATTTAATAAGTAGCTTAAAAATGAGCGCCAATTACTGGTAATATTAAAATTGCGACACATCAAAATCCATTCTACAATTCAGATGTTTCTGTATCTTATAAATATATAAATAAGTGTACAAGGGGATTTCATTATATGTAACATTGCATTGGTTTATTATTACATTGCTATAACTAATACTAACAAAATTATTAAAACCAATATTAAGATTCCGATACAACAAGATGACCTTTTTTCTGTATAAAATTTTAAGCGTAAGCAGTTTGATAAGATACGAATAAATAAATCAAATTGTTAATGTATTTTTTATACCTTCATTCTGTTGAATGATCCGCGATACTTTTTTCATCGCGCTTCCCAATCTTCCAGAGGTATGGTCCACACGTTCACCAAACTCATCCAACAGTCTACAATGAATAAATAAATGTTACATTAATTAATTAGGAAATCGTTTTAGAAACAGTTTATGGAACTTGCATGTTTTGATCTTCGATTTCGGTTCCCATTGTAGTAACAATCTCATGAATGTTACGCGCGGTTCCATACAACGATTCTAACTGATCATCTTGCTCGCGAATAAGAACCTTTAATAAATTGCGTGAAATTCATCATTAAACAATAACGAATTATTGATTCACATACATATGAAAATTATATAATACCGTTTGTTGGAGGGTTTCATTATTTATAAACTTTGTATTATCCATTTCTATCTCTTCGTATCTTGAATTCGATCGGATTTGATCAAAAGAATTAAATTGCTGACGGCCATCCATTAATTCCTGATGTTTTACAAAAAATAAGTCTTTAATCTACACATAAATCTACACACAGATCAGCCACATTAAAGTTCATGCCCGAACGTTTTCAACTTCGGAATGTTTTGATTTTTTCGGCGGATCTGCCAAGGTTAGTCGAATGTCCTATTAAGTTTAAAGTAAGAAGGAATCGAATGCCATTTTGAAACGTCTAACGTGAGGAACGAAAAATGATACATGTAATTGTTGCCTTGTCTGATTAACAAATTCCCGTCGAGACTCTATATCTTGCGTCGTTAATCCGAACTTATCGGGATTACTCTCTACAACTCGTATCATCCAAAGAGATCAATCATTATTATTATGGAATAATATTGCCACTCATCAATTGAATAAATTATAATTAAATCACTATGACATGTTAGGATATTAATTGTTTCCTCCACATCATCTAGATCCGTTGATACATCATTTAAAGTTGATCGCAATTCTTCTTCCGTTCTTTGCAATTCTTCATTGTTTATAGATGAAACGGTATTATAAATTCTATTCCAACTTTCGAATAATGTCCTTGCCGTATAGACATTTTGTTCTATTTCCCTTAAGAATAACGGAATAAATAAAAGAATTAGATCTTAAGAGTTCTTTACTAAATTTTAGCGAGTTAGAAATAGCTCGAAACATTACTCTTTGACAACGAAAAATGGATCTTCGTAAGACATCTTTTGTGTATACTTTTTATCTCAGTGTCAAGTAACTAAGAAGGAATTGAATACGTCATAAAAGCCGAGTTTAAAAAAATTGTCGCATACAAGCGTTTCAAACATAAATAAATAACGTCATCGGATTGATTGCATGTAAGTCAGGCAATACCCGGAGAAAGATTTCAAATTCACGGATATGAAAAAATAATTGAGACACGAACTTGGGTTTTCACTTTAATAGAAACGCAAGAAGCTATTAAAAAAAGACCAAAATTTAACATTTTAAATTAAGGTTTGCACATATATATTTGAGGTGCCCAGATTTATGCGGTCACATAATATGCACATAAATATGCACACGCGCAGCATCACCATAGATGTAACCAATTTAAATTCATTCTTGAAAAATATTCTTTGTGAATTATAAAAGAAAAGAATCATCTTTAAACAATGGTTAATATTTTATTAGAAAAAATTCATAAACAAAGCTATATTTTCACTTATTGATTATCGAATAATTTAATTTTTTGAAATTTTAATTATTTATCGTTATGTAATATGTGATTAATTCAATATAGCTCACATAGAAAGGTCATGTTAAAGTTTGTTCGTCAGTCTAGTATCATAACAATCCACGTTTATTAAAAGTGCATCCCTTATATATTAAGCATACACCCCCTTAATGAGATTTATTGGTTTTATTGCGTAATATCAAAATAAGAAAATCAAATCCAGTATTTTATTTTTTATTATTATAATTTTTTTTTTTTGTTTTTTTTTTTTTTTTTTTTTTTTTTTTCTCTACTTACGCCACAGTCCAAAAACCCTTTGGCGAAGGCTCACCACCTTCCCCCCCCTCTTCCCTCCCCATTCTTC